CTATAGAATCTTAAATAAAAAAGATTCAATAATAAAATAATTAGGAACTGGAATGTAAAAATTGGGACTAAAGAAAAAGGACTGATAGTTGTAAGTTATGGACATGGAAACAGAAATAAGGAGAAAAATCCAATTATTAAATTTTGAACAATCAATAATTTATTCATGGACAATACCTTTTCTGGAAAATGCAAATATAGATAATAAACATGTGCCTCATCTGCCAGGCTACACAGGAATTTAATTGTCCCTATTTGTGGAAACTATTGGTGAATAAGCTCAGTATCAGCAGTCAAAACGAGACCAAGTGTTGACTGTGGAACAGACCATCAATGACTTATGTGCAAATTCAAACTGAAGCTGAGGAAAATAAAACAAATCCAAGAAAAACAAAATATAACCTTATGTGTATATACTCTAAATAGAAGTCCTCTCAAGAATAGGTTCAAGGCCTTGACTACTAATGATTGATGAGCAGATAAACTGCAAGAAGGCATTAGGATTAACATCCAGAAAACAAAAGTTGGCAAAGACAGAAGAGAAAGAAAAACCAAAATGGATGTCAAAAAAGACTCTGGGACATCCCTGGTTATAGTTGTTGTTGTTGTGGTGGTGGTGGTGGTGGTGCGCCAAGTCAGCACTGACCCATAGGTGACCCTCCAGCAGGTTTTCAGGGGCAGTTAATTATACAGAAGGAGATTGCTTGTCATTCTCCCACAGTGCTGCTAAAGGATTTTAATTGTGTGCTGTCAGGATTGCAGTGCAGAAAGCAGTCAAATAATAATTACTTTTGTTGTTGTTGGGGGTTTTTTTAAGGTATTATACTGAGGAAATCTACTGTCATGGACCTTTCCAAAGTACTAAAGAGCAATGATGTCAATTTGAAGACTAAGATGTGCCTGATTCAAGCCAAAGTATTTTCAATTGCATCCTATACATTGAACAACGAATAAAATGACAGAAGAGGAATAAATGCTTTTTAGTTTCTGTGGTGTTGGCAAAAAAGTACTGATATCTCCTTTCAGTCAAGTTCAAGAAAACATGTGTATCTTCAAACCTGGAACTGAAATCACACCCCACCCCCCGACCCCACCCCGGGACTCGGTGCCCATTTAAAACAATAGATATACCCATAATCAGTAACACCAACACCAGGCAGGAAAAGCACTCCTTCGAATAATCAGTCATATAAGATTATAAAAGCAGGATTTGCTCAGGGATAAAGCTCAGAAGGCAATCGAGGCGGGGGAAAGGAGGACAAACAGAATGGGAGAGGCAAAAGGGGAATGGAAGAGTGTCGTTATGATGTGAGATCATAATCAGTGTCATGATACAAAATTTGTACGAATTATTGAATGAAAACCAATTTATCCTTTAAGCTTTCATCTAAATAAAAAGGTTTTTAAAAGGTTTATACAGTAAAACCTCTAAGTACTGGAATTTAACAAGGCTGTCTTGTTTTTCTGGATTTCAAAAGTATTCTACCTTTGTCAGAATACAATCTTACCCTTTTTTGTCAGTCATTTTAGTGAAAAATACTTCTTTTTTTTTCTCTAACAAGTTCCTGCTTTACACAGTTTTCTGTTTTACGGTGTAAGGTGGTGTAAGATGCCTTAAACCTAGGGATGAGAGATAAGCCTATTTTAACAGATTGTTACTCTCAATGCTATCTGTGTGAAAAGCTGAAATAAACAGCCATTGCACTCAAACTGTTAAATATTTACTTGATAAGGGTGGGAAAGGTAATTGACAAGAATGCAATGATAACTTCTCTTTCTCTAGCTCTTTGGTCCAGGGTAGGATATAATCATATGAGCATTTCTTCACTTTGCAGGGATGTGTCATTAGTGGCTCCTCTTCAATTGTAACTTGGCTGCTGCTGAGCTGCCAATAAATGAGGACAGCCAGAGGCAGAGAGCTTGAAATCTATGCAGATTATACAATACCCCAGGCTGCTTTACAAATCCTTTGCTATGTTTATGTTGTCATTCCCATTGTTGATAGTTAACATTGAGTTGATTCCAATCTATGATAATCCCACATTTATCAGAGTAGAACTGTGCTCCATAGTTATTAATGACTGATTTTGCTGCAATAGATCACCAACCCAGTCTTCTGAGGCACTGGGGGTGAACTCAAACTGCTCATCTTCAGCTAGTTGTTGAGAATGTTAACTATATGTATATTAGAAGCAAAGGCTACTCATTTTATTTTTTTCTCATTGTTGTTGTTGTTATTATGTGCCGTCGAGTCGCTTGCGACTCATAGCGACCCTATGTACAACAGCCCTAAACTCCGCTCTGTCCTATGCCAATCTCACTGTCTCTGACACTCCCATCCCGATTATCCCAGTCACTGAATGAATCCACCTCATAGAGGGTCTTCCCCTCCTGCACTGTCCCTCTACCCTCCCAAGCATGATGTCCTTCTCCAAGGACCGGTCTCTCCTCACAACATGTCCAAAGTATGTTAGACGGAGCCTCAGAATCCTTGCCTCCAAGGAGCCACCCGGTTTAACCCTTTCCAGGACAAATCTGTTTGTTTTCCTAGCAGTCCATGGTATTCTCAATACTTTTCTCCAGCACTACAGCTCAAAGGCATCAATTCTCCTTCTATCCTCCTTGGTCATTGTCCAACTCTCTGATGCATAACAAGTGATTGCAAAGACCATGGCCTATATCAAACGCACCTTAGTCTCCAGGGAGACACAATTGCTCTTCAGCACTTTGGAGAGGTCCCTAACAGCAGACTTTCCCATGGCAATGCACCTTTTTTTTTCCATTGGCTAAGTACATGCTTAGTATCATCAAATTTTTTTCATTTACTATTTTATAAAGAACACAAGATTATCTTTAAGTCATTTACATGAAATAATATATTAAATATAAAATTCAATATCTGAATTTAAATGTATTCAGCTTTATTTGTACATTATCTTTGACTAGTGCAAAATAACTATAATGATAATCTTTGATAAAATACATTTTCTTTTCAAATTAACACATTTTGTTGTTATTATGGGCCATAGAGTTGCATACTTTATAAAATATAAATTACTAGCTACAATAAAATCTATACACGTTATCATCAAAATCATCACTAACATTATGGATACTCAAAAATGTGAATTCAGGTGAGCTCTGGTGGCCTAGTGGCAGGAAACTGTACTACAATCCCAGAGGTGTGCGGTTCAAATCCACCAGATGCTCTGCTGAAGAAGGAGGAACAATCACCTCCTGTACCAGTCAGATCCAATTTGACGGTACACACATAAAAAAAAAAAAGTGAATTCATTGCTGTTCAGTAAAAGAAACCTTATTGTTGACCCCCCCCTAGTGGGTTTTCAGAGGTTCTAAAATTGCATGAGGGAAGATTTTCTATCTTTCTCCCAAGGAACAGCTAGTTGGTTTGGACAATATACCTTTGGATTAACAGCACAACTGTCTATCTACTAAGCAATCAGCACCATTTTTATTGATCCATGGATCAACTATATTCATAGAAGCATTGCATAGATGGCCTTGCAGTTCAGGTTCCCATTTACAGGTTGCAGATAACATATTACCTTCAAGATACTTTATAATTCTATCATCATGTCCAGTTCCATGGAGTTTAGTGAGGCCCTTACCTGTACCTCTATCAAGACTAATTTATAATCAATGTATTTATCTTTATCTTGTTTTAATGGTTGGGGTTTTTTTTGTGTGTGTTTTCTGGCACAATCTAAAGTGTATAGCAAAGATGAGCACTAGAAGAGAATTTTATTTAAAATAATTTTGTTATATATACATGTATAGAATATGCACAATATCATAACCCATAACATCACATTTTAAAAAATTATAGCAAAACTTTCCCACCCTTAATCTTATTTACACTTTGGAATGACATTATGTACATTTACCTTATTATGGTCAAAATAGCATTAAATATGTATATATGTATGCCCAAAAGTTACACTAAATCTATGATACTGTCTTATAAACTTTACATCCTGATCCATTTCTGTTTTTCTCTAAGAATTCAGATTATAACAAATTAGGCCTGTGCAAATACAAACACAATCCTCAGAATGTAATTATAACCTTTTTTGTAGAAGCAATATGAGTGATTTTCAAGTTAAAGAGTAATTCCTCCATGACTTTTTAATTTTATTATCTAATATCACAATAGGGATTTCTGCCACTCAGCATAAGCATATAGAAAAATTTAGGAATGAGCCATTATTAAGTACCAGAAACATAACAAATGTCTATGATTTCAGATTTCCAATTATGATTAACATTGCTATTGCTGTTATTGTAATGTGCCATCGAGTTGGAACTGATTTATAGCTGACCCTCCAATGGGTTTCCGAGGAGATTTTTAATCTTTCTTTTGTGGAAAGATTGGTAGATTTGAACCACATCCCTTTAGGATTGTAACGCAGCTTCTTACCACTGGACCACAAGAGCTCCTTTATGTTATATGTTACAAATTTTCCTGTACGAATTAATTTGTGTACAATATCCTATTGTCACTCAAACATTTCTCCCATGTATGATTTAGTTCTTTAATTAGTCTTTCTATTAGCAGTTTATAGACAAACTCAAGTGTGTAGTTTATCTTGATGTTGAAAAAGAGGATGCATATCCCACCACATATGGCTTGTAAGTACATACATTTTTTTATATAAAATTAAATGTTTTAATCCCTTTAAGAAAATATGAAATTTTAAAATGTCAGTGACAAACATTCTAAACAAAAATGATTACTTTAAAAAATCTATTGGATGTTTATTTATGATTACCATCAAAAGCAGTATTTTAGGCAAAATTTGTTATACTGAACAATGCTGAAAGGAACCCAGTAGCAGGGAGAAGAGAAAAATGGAAGTTAAAATTAATCCTCAAGTCTTCTTTATGAATCTCTTAGGAAGGACCATGGAAAGTCTGTCTATGTAGTTAATATACAAACTCTTTTCAGTGGTTTTAAGATGCACAGTACCCTCAAGGCTGTTTGTCTCAGTTTGCAGTTTCCTAGAATCAGAATAAATGAGTGGCCTGTGGGAAAGAAGGATAATGTTAACATAGTAAATTTCGTGAATGTGAGGTCCTGGAGCTTAAAAAACATCCAATTAATTACTTGTGTGGAAAAATATTGAATTATGATGAAGAGGAGGAAAGAAAGCACCATTTTCATGGCTCTTTTATGGGCCTCTGCGCAGAAATCCCTAGAGCCCATAGCACTGAGTTCCAGATTCCTGGCATGCCTCATCAAAGATAGAAATAAAAGGAACAATGAGATCAAAGACAGAACAGTGGGGATGAAATAGGTCAAGCTAAGAAGCATAAGGTGTTTAACATAGAAACCTGAATAGAAAGTAAAATTACTTCTGTCTACCACATAGACATTCAGCCAGAAATCATCCAATGGTTCTTGCACCAGAAAATCAAAAGTCAGTAGTGACAAAGAACATATAAAAAGAACAAGAATAATTTTGTTCATTCTCCACTTGAGCCAGAGGAAAAGAGAGTGGGAGAAGTGGGCTATCTTAAGGAAGTATAAAATGCTTAGGCATGTGGAAAGCCAGATGGTTAAGTGATTCATCATTCTCCAAAGTGAGCTAAAAAATTTTCCAAGTCCATTAGTAGTAAGCATGCGGTGACATATCCCCATTATTAATGTTTCGCACAGTAATACCCACTGCTGAATAATTCTGGAGATAGCCAGGCAGGTGAGGATAAAGTCAGCTGAGGAGATCTTCTGGTTCTTGACCCATTCAGAACAGTTTACCAGTCCAATGAATCCATTCTCCAACATTCCAGTTATGAATTCTCCAACTGCCAGTATCAGAATTATTTTATCCAAAGCAGAGATCATTTTGAAATTTCTAAAACATGTCTGATTACCAAGTTTACAATGAAAACATTGTAGAATAGTATCTGTTTCCAAAGTTTTTCTTCATTGTTTTTTCCCTATCAATTTTGACAAAAATCTCCTCCTATTGATACAATCTCACATGTATTTAAAGAAAATTTTTTTGTCCATATATTTTTATCCAAAATATCTTCCAAGGAATACAGTCCCATGAATCTTCATGAAAATATTTACACTTATTTGAAAGAGCTACTAATTTCTAAACGAAAGAATTTATCATTGGCACTACTTGAAATTTGCTACTTATGATAATGATAAAAAAATTAGTCAAATAAGTTAACTTGCAAATATGGGATAGATAATTTTTCAATGACTTTTACATTCCTTCTCATCTGAAATAGTATCTACTTGGATCTAAACATCTTTTTAAAAAATACAAATCTTTAGGAATAATTTGAATAAGTAAATTATTCAATGAATATGTTTTATGAGTGTTTGCTTTGTGTCAAATCCTTTTGCAAATTCAATAGAGGTTACTAAAAAAAGTAAAGAACCAAGAAGTCCATGAAACAGTGAAGTCATAAAAACACTGAGACAGGAAAATAAGATGCAGTGCGAATGAATGAGAAAAATAACTACAATTTTCTTTGGTGAAAAGAGGAAGCCAAAAAGTGATATCATTGTCTGGATTTTGAAGATATTCAGAATTTTCTTTTTTCTCCAACATCAACTCAAAGGCATTGAGTATTCTTCTGTCATACTTAGTGTCCAGCTATCAGACGAATAAACAAGTGATCAAAAATACCACAGCCTGAATCAGGCCCACTTTAGTCTTTAAACTGACCTTATTACTTCTTAGTACTTCGGAAGAGATCCTTGACAGTAGACTTTTCCAATGCAACGTATCTTTTGATTTCTTGACTGCAAGTACCAAAGTTGTTGATTGAGGAACCAAGTAAAATGAAATAGTTGGCAAGTTTAATCTTTTCTCCCTCTATCATGATGTTGCCTATTATATAAGAAATGGCAGTAATATGGGGAAGGCTGGATCTGACTTCTAACTGCTGCATAAAGGCTAACTCCATTAACAACATCCATAACACAATACAAATGGCTACATGATCACTGGGTTCGATGTTGGTTACAACTCAACTCATAGACTTTTACTTATAGGTGTGGTGTTTATTAGGGAAAGAGTTTGGGAGTGGGCAAAACAAAGAATATCACACAAAGCAAGTCCAAGTTAAGTCCAGCAGTCCCAGGTCATATTAACAAGGTGTTGTTGTTGTTATGTGCCATCGAGTCGCTTGCAACTCATAGTGACCCTATGTACAAGAGCTCTATATGCTCTACTATCCTGTGCCAACCTAGCCATCTCAAACGCACTTATTCCCACCGCTCTAGTCACAGAATCGATCCATCTCATCAGAGGTCTTCCTCTCCTGCACCGTCCCTCCACTCTGTCAAAAATGATGTCCCTCTCCCAGGACCAGTCCCTCCTTGCAACATGCCCAAAATATGTCAGACGAAGCTTCAGAATCCTTGACTCCAGGGAACATTCTGGCTTCACCCTCTCCAGGACAAACCTGTTTGTTCTCCTAGCAGTCCATGGTATATTCAATACTCTTCTCCAGCACCACAGATCAAAGGCATCAATTCTCTTTCTATCAACCCTCGTCACTGTCCAATTCTCTGATGCATAGCACGTAATTGCGAAGACTATAGCCCAAATCAGGCGCACCTTAGTCTCCAGCCTGATGCCGTTGCTCTTCAGTACTCTTGAGAGGTCCCTCACAGCCGACTTTCCTAATGTAATTCGTCTCTTGATTTCCTGGCTGCTGTTACCAAGAGTGTTGACCATGGAGCCAAGTAAACTAAAACCTGTAACTACCTCAATCTCTTCACCATCCATACTGATGCTGCCAATTGGCAGAGTGGTGAGAATCTTTGTTTTCTTGATGTTGAGCTTCAGTCCATATAGGTGGCTGTAGTCCTTGATCTTCCGCAGCAAGCGCTTCAGGTCCTCCTCAGTTTCAGCAAGCAGGGTTGTGTCATCTGCATAACGCAGGTTGTTGATGATTCTTCCACCAATCCTGATGCCACATTCCTCCTTGTATAGCCCAGCGTCTCGGATGATCTGTTCTGCATACAGATTGAAAAGGTATGAAGACAGAATACATCCCTGACTAACCCCCTTCTTGAATTTGAACCATGTAGTGTCTCTTGCTCTGTTCTGACAACTGCCTCTTGGTCCGAGTATAAGTTTCACATTAGCACAATCAAATGTTCTGGGATTCCCATTCTTCTCAGAGTCAGCCACAGCTTATTGGTGAAAGTCCAAGTTAAGTTCAGCAGCACAGATGCACCTCTGGTTTCCTTCAAGCATCTCTCAAGCAAAACCTTTAACTGTGGCTCCATCTCTGGGGGTTCCTCTTGTTACACCTTGACATAGTCTCCCCACCACCATTTTTCACAATGTGGAAAGTACTCTCTTATATTGGTCCCACAGCTGCTTATGAGTCACAAGTCCATGTGTCTGCCCTTAAGGTAGCTGGAGATCAGACCTCCAATGAGGGCTTACACAATGGATAGGAAAAGCCAATTTTCAAGGTTTCTGATACCTTATCTATTTACACAATAGTGAGTATTGTGTAAATACTCAATCCCTATTGAAGGCTGTCACCTTTGATGTCAAGTTCCCCTTTTTGCAGTTCAAGTCCCCATTGCTTTCAATAAGCAAGGTTGTGTCCTCTGTATATCACAGGTTGTTAAGGAGTCTTCCTCAGAACCCAATGGCATGTTCTTCTTCATAAAGTCCAGCTTCTTTAATTATTTACTCAGCATACAGATTGAATAGGTATGGAGAAAGGATACAGCCCTGACACATGCCTTTCCAGATTATAAACCATACAGTGTTACCCCTCTGTTCAGAGAACAACTTCCTGGTATAGGTATAGGTTTTGTATGCACATAATTACATGTTCTGGGATTCTCATTCTTCTCCATATTAAACATAGTTTGTTATGACCCACAAGATCAAATGCCTTTGCAGAATCAATAAAGCACAAGTCCGAGGACAAAAATAGGATTTAATACTGGATATAAGATATTATTGTGGTGGCGGTTATGTGCCTTCATGTCGCCTGCAACTCATACCAACCCAATGTACAACAGCCCTAAACCCTGCTCTATGCTGTGCCAATCATATTGTCTCTGTCATACCTATCCCCATTACCCCAGTCACTAAATCAATCCATCTCATCAAGTGTCTTCCTTTCTTGCACTGTCCCTCCACCCTCTCAAGCATGACATTCCTCTCCAAGGACTGGTCCCTCCTTGCAACATGTCCAAAGTACGTGAGATGAAACTTCATAATCCTTGCCGCCAAGAAGCAGCCTGGTTTCACCTTCTCCAGGACGAACCTGTTTTTTCTCCTAGCAGTGTATGGTATATTCAATACTCTTCTCCAGCACCACAGCTCAAAGGCATCAATTCTCCTTCTATTATCCCTAGTCATTGTCTAGTTTTTTGATGCATAGCAATAGCTCATTTTTTTTAGCTAAGAAAAATGTACTGTATGCACACCTAGAAAACAAATGTTTTGATTTCTTAAGCATGTTGTTGTTTTATACCGTTGAATCAGAGTCAACTGATAGTTGAACCTTGAGTGAAGTTTTAGAAGTTGTAAATCCCACAGGAGATTGTTCATCATTCTCTCTCTGGCAGCTTATTTAACCATGTACTTTTGGGTTAATAGTATGACTTTTTTGCACATTAAATCACCAAAGTATCCCTTTATTAAATATGACTTACTTTAAAATATTAAATTTATTTAATAAATTTATTAAATTTATCAAGATAGAATACTTGAGGCAATAGTGATTAGATGTCCATCCCTTCTGCCCATAAAGTAGCAGTAAATAAGCCAATGAAAGTAAACACTGCCTCCAGTTAACATTCCCATTACCAAGTAAACACACACACATAATATGTAATAATGAGTAAATGAGATGTTAACCTGTCAGATGTCACCATTCATGCAGAAATAAATCCTGTAACGATAGCTTTAATAACTTGCAAAATAGCTCCACTATTGACGAAGGAATTTCAAAAGTTTGCTAAAAATTATTACATCTCTCTCCAAAGATATGGTTAAGATGCATGACAGGGGAGTCTAACTCAAAACATTAATCACAAATAGAAGAGATCACTGTAAAATAAATCATTCTGAATCTAGAACAAATTATTCTGAATGACATAAATCAGTCACAAAAGGGCAATTATGGTATAAGATCCATGTTATAAGAACCTAAGGAAAGGTTTACACACAAATAGAATAAATCTTGGAAGGTTACCAGCAATAAGAAGGCAGAGAGAAGGGGAAAAAAATAATAAATAGGTAATTTTACTGAAAGAAAAGGATATATACAATAAGGAGTTGATTAGATATTATTATTTCTATCATTAAGTGATAATTAAAGTTCTAAAACAAAATGTGTATGAATGACTGAATGAAAAGCCAAAATGGTTTGCAAACATTTACTCAAATTAAAATAAAATATAAAAAGAAATAAAAATAAATTATTCTGAAATGTGAGGAATTTTCTATGATTTGGGGAACAAAAGAAAGAAATGGTATTACCAGAACTCAGGGAGGAGGGGCCACGTTAAGGCTTACGCTTGGATCCTGAGGAGATAGCACTGCTTCACCAATGGTTGATTCTTTATAGGGTACCCCCAAATGATGCTCAGAACTCTAAGTTCAGGAGTTCCATGGCTAGATCTTTGACAGAACAGACTACCTGTTGCTGGTGCCCCAATATAATATGAGTATAGAGGACCTGGCTACTGGATGTCCTCAGAAGGTGATGACAAGGCTAGAAGTGCTGCATAGCTGGAGGGTGGGACCATTAACTACCTTCTATTTCTACAGGGGCAGAGACTTTAACAGGAAACCAAAATAGAATCTTTTCTTTTTCTTGCCCCTTGCTTGATGGACCTCT